TAATTTTGAATAGGTTTTAAAGAATCTCAGGTGTCTGTAGTTTTTTATTTTTGAACGGGTTTTTAAAAATCTCAGGGGCCCTTAGTTTCCATTTTTTAAAAGGGTTTTCAAGAATCTCAGACCCCTTGTGATTTATTTTTGAAATAATTTTAAGGAATCTCAGGGGTCTCTAGTGTTTTATTTTTAAATGGGTTTTGAAAAATTTCAGGGACCCCAAGTGCTTTATTTTTTAAAGGGTTTTAAGGAATGTCAGGGGCCCTTAGTAATTTATTTTTTAAGGGGTTTTTGAACAATCTCAGAGGTCAATGGTGTTTTATTTTTAAAAAATTCTTAAGAATCTCCTGAGGGGTCTCTAGTGTCTACTTTTAAAACTGTTTTGAAGAATCTCAGGGATCCTAGTGTTTTAATTTTGAATTGGTTTTAAAAAATCTCAGAGGCCCATAGTGTTCTATTTTGAACGGATTTTAAAGAATCTCAGGTGCTGTTAGTGTTTTATTTTTAAAGGACTTTAAAGAATCTCACATCCCATTTGATTTATTTTTGAAATACTTTTAAGGAATCTCATGGATATCTAGTGTTTTATTTTTAAACGGGTTTTGAAACATCTCTGGGACCCCAAGTGATTAATTTTTTAAAGAGTGTTAAGGAATCTCAGGGGCCCCTAGCAATTTATTTTTTTAAAGAATTTTAAGAATCTCAGGGACTCCTGATCTTTTATTTTCAAGAACGTTTTGAAGAATCTCTTCAGGGGTCTCTAGTGTTCTACTTTTAAAAGTGTTTTGAAGAATCTCAGCCCCCCCCCCTAGTCTTTTAATTTTGAATTGATTTTAAAAAATATCAGGGGCCCATAGTGTTTTATTTTTTTGTTTTGAAGAATCTCAGTGGCCTCTAGTGTTTTAATTTTAAACAGGTTTTGAAAAATCTCAGCGACCCCAAGTGTTTTATTTTTTTAAAGAGATTTAAAGAATCTCAAGTGTCCCTAGGAATTTATTTTTTGTAGAATTTTAAGAATCTCAGGGACCCCTACTCTTTTATTTTCAAAAAGGTCTTGAAGAATCTCAGGCGTCATTAGTGTTTTGTTTTTAAAAATTTCTTAAGAATCTTCTCAGGGGTTTCTAATGTTCTACTTTTAAAAGTGTTTTAAAGAATCTCAGGGGCCCCCAGTGTTTTATTTTTAAAGTTTTAAAGAATCTCATGGCGCTAGTGATTTATTTTTTAAAGAGTTTTAAACAATCTCACGGGAACTCAAGTGTTTTATTTTCTAAAGAGTTTTAAAGAATCTCAGGGGCCCCTAGTAATTAATTTTTTTTATAGAATTTTACGAATCTCAGGGACCCCTGGTCTCTTATTTTCAAGAAGGTTTTGACGAATCTCTTCAGGGGTCTCTAGTGTTCTACTTTTAAAAGTGTTTTGAAGAATGTCAGCCCCTAGTGTTTGAATTTTGAATTGATTTTAAGGAATATCAAGGGCCCATAGTGTTCTATTTTTTTGTTTTAAAGAATCTCAGCGACTCCAAATGTTTTATTTTTTTAACAAGTTTTAAGGAATCTTAGGGGCCCCTAGTGTTTTATTTTTTAAAGACTTTTAAAGAATCTCAGGGGCCCCTAGTAATTTATTTTTTATAGAATTTTAATTTTCAAAAAGGTTTTGAAGAATCGCAGGCGTCGTTAGTGTAAAAAGTTCTTAAGAATCTTCTCAGGGATTTCAAGTCTTCTACTTTTAAAAGTGTTTTAAAGTGTTTTAAAGAATCTCAGGGCCTCCAGTGTTTTATTTTAAAGTTTTAAAGAATCTCATGGCGCCAGTGATTTTTTTTTTAAAGAGTTTTAAACAATCTCAGGGGCCCCCAAGTGTTTTATTTTTTAAAGAGTTTTAAAGAATCTCAAGGGTCCCATGTAATTTATTTTTTAAAATGTTTTGAAGAATCTCAGGGGACCCTAGCAATTAATTTTTTTATGGAATTTTCAAAATCGCGGGGACCCCTGGTCTTTTATTTTCAAGAAGGTTTTGAAAAATCTCTTCAAGGGTCTCTAGTGTTCTATTTTTAAAAGTGTTTTGAAGAATCTCAGTGGCCTCTAGTGTTTTATTTTTAAACGGATTTCGAAAAATCTCAGCGACCCCAAGTGCTTTAGTTTTTTAAAGAATTTTAAGGAATCTCAAAGGCCCCTAGTAATTTATTTTTTAAAGGGTTTTTGAAGAATCTCAAGGGTCCCTAGTAATTTATTTTTTATAGAATTTTAAGAATCTCAGGGACCCCTAGCCTTTTATTTTTAAAATGGTTTTGAAGAATCTCAGGGGTCATTAGTGTTTAATTTTTAAAAAAATTCTTAAGAAACTCCTCAGGGGCCCCTAGTGTTTTATTTTTTAAAGAATTTTACAGAATCTCAAGGATCTCTAGTAATTAATTTTCATAGAGATTTAAGAGTCTCGGGCTCCCGAGTCTTTTATTTTTAAAAAGGTTTTGAAGAATCTCAGGGATCATTAGTGTTTTATTTTCAAAAAATTATTTAAGACGTCCTCAGGGGTCTTTAGTGTTCTACTTTTGAACGGGTTTTTGAAAATCTCAGGGCCTTAGTGATTTAATTTTGAAATATTTTTAAGGATCTCAGGGGCCCTTAGTGATTTATTTTTTAAAGGGTGTTTGAAGAATCTCAGGGGTCAGTGATTTATTTTTTAAAGAGTTTTAAAGACCCCTAGCCTTTTATTTTTAAAAGTGTTTTGAAGAATCTCAGGCCCCCAAGTTTTCTATTTTTGAACGGGTTTTAAAGAATCTCAGGGACCCTCAGTGTTTTATTTTTAAGGAGCTTTAAGGAATCTCAGGGCCCTAGTGATTTATTTTTGAAATACTTTTAAGAATCTCAGAGATCTCTAATGTTTTATTTTTAAAAGGGTTTTGAAGAATCTCAGGGGCCCTAAGTGCTTTATGTTTTAAAGTGTTTTAAAGAATCTCAGGGGTCCCTAGTGTTTTATTTTTAAAGGGCTTTAAAGAATCTCAGGGGCCCTAGTGATTAATTTTTTAAAGGGTGTTTGAAGAATTTCAGGGGTCAGTGATTTATTTTTTAAAGAGTTTTAAAACGTGTTTTAAAGAATCTCAAAGATCCCTGGCATTTTGTTTTCGAAAGGGTTTTAAAGAATCACAAGGGCTTCTAGTGTTTTATTTTTGAAAAGCTTTAAAAATTTTAGGGGCCTCTGGTGTTTTATTTTTGTTTTGAAAGAATTCTAAATATCTCAGAGCCCCTAGTGTTTTATTTTTAAAAATGTTTTAAAGACTCTCAAGGACCTCTGGCGTTTTGTTTTCGGAAGGGTTTTAACAAATCACAGGGGGTCCTAGTGTTTTATTTTTTAAAGGATTTTAAAGAATCCCAGAGGCCCTTGGTGTTTTATTTTTGACAGAATTTTAAAGGATCTCAAGGGCCTCTAGTGTTTTTTTTTTGAAAAGTTTTAAGAATCTTAGGGGCATCTGGTGTTTTAGTTTTGATTTCAAAGAGTTTTAAATATCTCAGAGGTTTTAATAAATCACAGGGGGTCCTAGAGTTTTATTTTTGACAGGATTTTAAAGAATCACAATTGCCTCTAGTGTTTTATTTTTTAAAAGCTTTAAAAATCTTAGAGGCCTCTGGAGTATTTATTTTTGTTTTGAAGAGTTTTAAATATCTCAGAGGCCCCTAGTGCTTTATTTTTAAAAGTGTTTTAAAGAATCTCAAGGGACGCTGGCATTTTGTTTTGAAATACTTTTAAGAATCTCAGAGATCTCTAATGTTTTATTTTTAAAAGGGTTTTGAGGAATCTCAGGGGCCCTAAGTGCTTTATGTTTTAAATTGTTTTAAAGAATCTCAGGGGCCCCTAGTGTTTTATTTTTAAAGGGCTTTAAAGAATCTCAGGGGCCCCTAGTAATTTATTTTTTAAAGGCTTTTTGAAGAATCTCAAGGGCCTCTAGTGTTTTATTTTTTAAAGAGTTTTAAACAATCTCAGGGGCCCTTAGTCATTTATTTTTTAAAGGGTGTTTGAAGAATCTCAGGGGTCAGTAATTTATTTTTTAAAGAGTTTTAAAGAATCTCAGGGACCCCTAGTCTTTTATTTTTAAAAGTGTTTTGAAGAATCTCAGGCCCCCAAGTTTTCTATTTTTGAACGGGTTAAAAAATCTTTAATCTTTAATCTTTAATCTTTATCGATCATTCTACAGGTAAAAACCCAGTTACAGAGATCAAAGTGTACAATATAAAATAGAATAACACAATAAAATGACAGAGTATACATAATAGTACTCAGGGGGTCTCAGTGTTTTATTTTTAAGGAGCTTTAAGGAATCTCAGGGCCCTAGTGATTTATTTTTGAAATACTTTTAAGAATCTCAGGGATCTTTAATGTTTAATTTTTAAACGGGTTTTGAAGAATCTCAGGGGCCCTTAGTAATTTACGTTTTAAAGGGTTTTTGAAGAATATCAGGGGCACCTAGTAATTTATTTTTTAAAGATTTTTGAAGAATCTCGGGGGCCCTTTGTGTTTTATTTTTAAAAGGATTGTAAACAAGTTCAAGGGTCCTTAGAGTTTTATTTGGAGATAATTTTGAAAATCTGTTTTTCTTCCTTTTTTCTTCATATTCCTTTTTATTTCGATCTTCTTGCCACAGTTTTTGTTGGATTTCATCCCTTGATTCATTTGCGGATTTTGTTTTCAAGATTTTCTTCATAAGGCGGAAGAAAAATAATTAGATATGAGGTTTTGGAGCATTGTAGTTATTGAAATGAGATAATGGGCAACTGAGAATTTTTATAACAACTTAGCATTAAAAAAATGCTTTCAAAAATTTTTTAATTCTACCTTTGTGGCCCCGATTGTCATAAAAAACATAATTTAATCAAAATAAAATAATCAAAGCAAATATTTTCACACTTAAGCAACAAATTCGTGATGAATCAACTGCTTTTATAGCTCGTCCAAGATAAGTTTTTACAATTTACTGATAAGACCACCAGATACGAATTCAGTAGAATACTGGCAAATAAACGTACCGCACCGACAATTATGACCGACAACGACAACTTTGACGTTTTCGAGTTGGCGAAAAACCCAGACGGCTACACTTTGTTCAAAATGGTTTTAGACAACTTCGAAATCTACAACCAGCACATCAACTCCGAGGACGAGCACGGCAACACTTTGTTGCACCTGATAGTTAACCATTACGGTAACAACTCGCCGCCAATTTGCCTCCAAATTAATCCTTTGTTGTATAACAACAGATCATATCAACCTGGTGAACCGGCTGCTAACCCTCGGTGCCGACGTCAACAAGAGCAACTTCATGGATGAAACTCCCGTCTACTTCGCGTGTAGTAAAGGCAAGCTAAAACTCGCCAAGCTCCTAGTGGAAAAAGGCGCTGATCTGCGCGTCAAAGACTCCAAGTCGAAGTCGCTCCTACACATTGCTGTCGAAAAAAGCAACCTGGAGCTGTGTCGGTTTTTAATCGAACGAGGACTCGACGTCAACTCCCAGGACCACGACGGCGAAACTCCTCTCCACTACGCCGTCCAAACCAAACACAACAAAATCTTGTTCTTGTTAGTGCATAAAGCGGACATCAACAAGCAGGACCACGACGGCTACACCCCTCTGCACCTAGCGGCGAAAACTAGCGTCGAAGTGGTCAACTTCCTCCTCCGGAACAAAGCCTCCACGTCTCTGAAGACGTTCAACGGCGATTCGCCTCTGCACCTCGCCGCAGCGGCGGGCAATTTGGCCACTGCGACAGTTCTTTTAAGCTTTTTCAACGTTAACTGCCTGAACAATGACAATTACTCTGCGGCACAATTAGCCGAAATGAACGGCCACGAAGAGGTTCAGCGGTTATTGCAGCGGCATTGTGCTCCACCTAGGGGTCCTGAAGGAAAGAAAGGGAAGCGTATGTAGTTCGAAGAATGCGCCGGCGATTGTGTAATGATTGCCTTTTAATAAATGTTTTGTGGAAAGTTCGAGGGTTGCGGTGGCACAAAGGCGCTATTAATTAAAGTGAAAATTCCGCGATCTGGCGAAGTTTTATTTCGCGATTGGATGCTGCCACGCTTCGCGTTGTAATTAAACTTTGCGGACGAAAAAAGCGGGTCGAGTTGGTAGATATGCAACCAGTAATTCGTGTTTTTATAAAGCGAGACGGATTGGTAATAGTTTTTGTCGGTGATTATTTAAGGTAATAGGCAATTACTGGGGGGTTTGGCCTTCGTATGGCTTTCGCTAGTGGTGGTGTGAGTAAATATTGATTTGTCTAGCAATTTGGGTCGCCGGGACGATTATTGTAGGGTAAAATACACAACTGAATTATATATTTTTGTTACTTTTTTGAACAGGTATGATAAAGATGATATTTATTTATACGATATTTTTATTTTATTAATGGCTTCCCATATCCTTCAAATTTAAGTGTGTATGCCAAAAAATGGAGCACAGAAAGAGAAATGTGCGGAAAGGAATTATTTAAAATTTTAACAAAAACCGAATCTTAACATTTACCTCCATTTTAATAACATACTTAAAACAGTTATTTCAGGCTAATTATTATCCTTGTTAGGAACCCGAATTATTATTTTTTTTTGACACATATGTCCTTTCACAACATGCAGGTTTTTCTGTGAAAGGAAAAAAAGGATTTTCAAACTTAGCGCTCAGCACATAACTGATTTTTTGTTTTAAAACCCATCTGAAAAATTCTCAAAGTTATAATTCTGTGCTTATTTTTCATGTTTCTTCAAACCCCCCATTTATTTTTTCGAATTATAGAATAATTCCAAATCGATCTGGACAGGTGTTTGTTTTATGGAAATATTCTTAATGTAACTCTTTAGGTAGCCGAGAAAAATGCGAATTTATCTGCCCCCTTATATTTTTCGAATTTTCTCAGGATTACGATTATCACTCCTACAATCCTAAGTGATTTTGATTTATCACCTCAAATAATGGCATTTTTATATATATCAAGGGGGCCTTAGTGTTTTAATGTTAAAGACATATTTAAAAAAAAATCTGGGCAGCCGGTGTTTAGCGTTAAATTTCAAAGAATTTTGAAGCCCTCTGCTGTTTTATTTTTGAAAGAATTTAAAGAAACTTGGAAATTCCCGATGGTTTTTTTTAAATAATTGTAAAGAATTTCAGAGGCCCCGAGTGCTTTATTTTAGAAAGAATGTTAAAGAATCCCAAAGGTTCTAGTCTTTTATTTTTAAAAGGATTTTAAAGAATCTCAGGTCGTCTAGTGTTTCATTTTTGAGAGAATTTAAAGAATCTCAGAGGTTTTATTATTAAAACAATATTAAAAAATTGTAGGGGTCTAAGTCTCTTATCTTTCAAAGGATTTTTAAGACTCTCCTGATGTTTTATTTTGGGCAGAATTTGATAGAATCTCAAGGGCCCCTAGTGTATTATCTTTGAAAAGCTTTTAGAATCTTAGGAGCCTCTGGTGTTTTATTTTTATTTTGACAGAGTTTTAAATATCTCAAGGGCCCCTAGTGTTTTATTTTTAAAAGTGTTTTAAAGAATCTCAGGTCCTCTAGTGTTTTATTTTTGAGAGAATTTAAATAATCTCAGGGGTTTGATTATTAAAACAATATTAAAAAATTGTAAGGGTCTAAGTCTCTTATCTTTCAAAGAATTTTTAAGACTCTCCTGATGTTTTATTTTGGGCAGAATTTGATAGAATCTCAAGGGCCCCTAGTGTCTTATTTTTTAAAAGCTTTCGGAATGTTAGGAGCCTCTGGTGTTTTATTTTTATTTTGACATAGTTTTAAATATCTCAAGGGCCCCTAGTGTTTTATTTTTAAAAGTGTTTTAAAGAATCTCAGGTCCTCAATTGTTTTATTTTTGAGAGAATTTAAAGAATCTCAGGGGTTTGATTATTATTAAAACAATATTAAAAAATTGTAGGAGTCTAAGTCTCTTATCTTTCAAAGGATTTTTAAGACTCTCCTGATGTTTTATTTTGGGCAGAATTTGATAGAATCTCAAGGGCCCCTAGTGTTTTATTTTTGAAAAGCTATCGGAATTGTAGGAGCCTCTGGTGTTTTATTTTTATTTTGACAGAGTTTTAAATATCTCAAGGGCACCTAGTGTTTTATTTTTACAAGTGTTTTAAAGAATCTCAGGTCCTCTAGTGTTTTATTTTTGAGAGAATTTAAAGAATCTCAGGGGTTTGATTATTAAAACAATATTAAAAAATTGTAGGGGTCTAAGTCTCTTATCTTTCAAAGGATTTTTAAGACTCTCCTGATGTTTTATTTTGGGCAGAATTTGATAGAATCTCAAGGGCCCCTAATGTTTTATTTTTGAAAAGCTTTCGGAATCTTAGGAACCTCTGGTGTTTCATTTTTATTTTGACAGAGTTTTAAATATCTCAAGGGCCGCTATTATATTATTTTTAAAAGTGTTTTAAAGAATCTCAGGTCCTCTAGTGTTTTATTTTTGAGAGAATTTAAAGAATCAAGGGTTTTATTATTAAAACGATATTAAAAAATTGTAGGGGTCTAAGTCTCTTATCTTTCAAAGAACTTTTAAGACTCTCTTGATGTTTTATTTTGGGCAGAATTTTATAGAATCTCAAGGGCCCCTAGTGTATTATTTTTGAAAAGCTTTCAGAATCTTAGGAGCCTCTGGTGTTTTATTTTTATTTTGACAGAGTTTTAAATATCTCAAGGGCCCCTAGTGTTTTATTTTTGAAAAGCTTTCGAAATGTTAGGAACCTCTGGTGTTTTATTTTTATTTTGACAGAGTTTTAAATATCTCAAGGGCCCCTAGTGTTTTATTTTTAAAAGTGTTTTAAAGAATCTCAGGTCCTCTAGTCTTTTATTTTTGAGAAAATTTAAAGAATCCCAGGGGTTTTATTATTAAAACAATATTAAAAAATTGTAGGGGTCTAAGTCTCTTTGTTTTCTTGAGATTCTATCAAATTCTTAAAAAATTTGATAGAATCTCAAGGGCCCCTAGTGTTTTATTTTTTAATGCTTTCGGAATCTTAGGAGCCTCTGGTGTTTTATTTTTATTTTGACAAAGTTTTAAATATCTCAAGGGTCCCTAGTGTTTTATTTTTAAAGGTGTTTTAAAGAATCTCAGGTCCTCTAGTGTTTCATTTTTCAGAGAATTTAAAGAATCTCAGGGGTTTTATTATTAAAACAATATTAAAAATTTGTAAGGGTCTAAGTCTCTTATCTTTCTAAGGATTTTTAAGACTCTCCTGATGTTTTATTTTGGGCAGAATTTGATAGAATCTCAAGGGCCCATAGTGTTTTATTTTTGAAAAGCTTTCGGAATCTTAGGAACCTCTGGTGTTTCATTTTTATTTTGACAGAGTTTTAAATATCTCAAGGGCCGCTATTATATTATTTTTAAAAGTGTTTTAAAGAATCTCAGGTCCTCTAGTGTTTTATTTTTGAGAGAATTTAAAGAATCTCAGGGGTTTGATTATTAAAACAATATTAAAAAAATGTAGGGGTCTAAGTCTCTTATCTTTCAAATAATTTTTAAGGCTCTCCTGATGTTTTATTTTGGGCAGAATTTGATAGAATCTCAAGGGCGCCTAGTGTTTTATTTTTGAAAAGCTTTCGGAATCTTAGGAGCCTCTGGTGTTTTATTTTTATTTTGACAGAGTTTTAAATATCTCAAGGGCCCCAAGTGTTTTATTTTTAAAAGTGTTTTAAAGAATCTCAGGTCCTCTAGTGTTTTATTTTTGAGAGAATTTAAAGAATCCCAGGGGTTTTATTATTAAAACAATATTAAAAAATTGTAGGGGTCTAAGTCTTTTATCTTTCAAAGGATTTTTAAGACACTCCTGATGTTTTATTTTGGGCAGAATTTGATAGAATCTCAAGGGCCCCTAGTGTTTTATTTTTAAAAAGCTTTCGGAATTTTAGTAGCCTCTGTTGTTTTATTTTTATTTTGACAGAGTTTTAAATATCTCAAGGGCCCCTAGTGTTTCATTTTTAAAAGTGTTTTAAAGAATCTCAGGTCCTTTGGTGTTTTATTTTTTAGAGAATTTAAAAAATCTCAGGGGTTTTATTATTTTAAAAACAATATTAAAAATTTGTAGGGGTCTAAGTCTCTTATCCTTCAAAGGATTTTTAAGACTCTCCTGATGTTTTATTTTGGGCAGAATTTGATAGAATCTCAAGGGCCCCTAGTGTTTTATTTTTGAAAAGCTTTCGGAATCTTAGGAGCCTCTAGTGTTTTATTTTTATTTTGACAGAGTATTAAATATCTGAGGGGCCCTTAGTGTTTTATTTTTAAAAGTGTTTTAAAAAATCTCAAGGGCCCCTGGCGTTTTGTTTTTGAAAGGGTTTTAGTAAATCACAGGAGCTCATTGTGTTTTATTTTTGAAAGGATTTTAAAAATTCCCAGAGGCCCCAGGTGTTTTATTTTTGACAGAATTTTAAAGAATCTCAAGGGCTTCTAGTGTTTTTTTTTTGAAAAGTTTTAAGAATCGTAGGGGCCTCTGGTGTTTTATTTTTGTTTTGAAAGAGTATTAAATATCTCGGAGATCCTAGTGTTTTATTTTAAAAAGTGTTTTAAAGAATTTCAAGAGCCCTTGGCATTTTGCTTTTGAAATTGTTTTAATAAATCACAGGGGGTCCTAGTGTTCTATTTTTTAAAGAATTTTAAAGAATCCGAGAGATCCCTGGTGTTTTATTTTTGACGGCATTTTAAAGAATCTCAATATGGTTTTAATAAATCACAGGGGGTCCTAGTGTTCTATTTTTTAAAGGATTTTAAAGAATCTCAGAGGCCCCTAGTGGTTTATTTTTGACAGAATTTTAAAGAATCTTTAGGGCCTTTGGTGTTTTATTTTTGAAAATCTTTAAGAATCTTAGGAGTCGCTGGTATTTTATTTCTGTTTTGAAAGAATTTTAAATATATCAGGGGCCCCTAGTGTTTTATTTTTAAAAGTGTTTGAAAGTATCTCAAGGGCCCCTGGCGTTTTGTTTTCGAAAGGATTTTAGAAAATCAAAGGAGCTCCTTGTGTTTTATTTTTTAAAGGATTTTAAACAATCCCAGAGGTCTCCGATGTTTTATTTTTGACCGAATTTTAAAGAATCTGAAGGACGTCTAGTGTTTTTTTTTTGAAAAGTTTTCAGAATCTTAGGGGCCTGTGGTGTTTTATTTTAGTTTTGAAAGAGTTTTAAATATCTCAGGGGCCCCTAGTGTTTTATGTATTTCTGAAAAACCTGTAATAATGTTAAGAGCACCTGGTGTTTTATTTTTGAAAACGCTTTAAGAATCTCAAGGGCTCTTAATGTTTTATTTTTAAAAGGGTTTAAAAGAAACTCAGGAGCCTATGGGGTATTGTTTTAACCGGGTTTTAAAGAACCTCAAGAGCACCCTTTTCTTTTATTTTT